CCATTACACATTGAGAATAATTTGAAACTGAATACTTACATCCACATGTCACAAGCTTGGATCTAACAGATCTTTAGATAGCTTGACAGCTACCACGAAAGTTTTCAATGTTACAGGCCCCTACCTGTCCCCATGTTAAGCACGGATGGTCTCCGATCACTACAGTCATGTCAGGAGAAGCTCCAAGGAAGTTAGTTATGCAAAATCTCTGTTTGCTGTTTGTAATTTCTTTTATGTATAGGGATAGTTTTACCGTATTATTGCAAGTATAGCCTGTCTGTATCCCCACAACGTCTGCTACTATATCCTATCCTAAAAAACCAAAGACACACACAGATAATGTAAGCACAGCTTAAACTCACAAATCCTGTAGGAAGTCACTCCATTTCCACCAGCGTGAAGAAGATTCCAGATGAAGCTCAAACAGCTGACTGTGGGACAATGATGTTTCACCAAAATTTTCCTACAAGCTCTCTAAAATGAGAGCACTACTCCCTTCTACTGAACTTGCAGAGTAACATTATTATTCTCCAACAGCCAACTCCGTTCTCCTTCCAGTATCACATCTAGCTCAATACACCAAGTTCCTCTCTTTTCCTTCAGGTTCGCTATGACCTTCCTATTTATACCCTTAAAAAGTAAACTGAAAATAAGCAGAAAAAGGAAAAAGCACCTCAGCCTTTAACCACTATAAACTCTGTACTGTAAGACCACCTTCAAGTTTTTTAAAGAGTATACCTACACTTTTACCAAATGGCTTATGACACAAAATACTGCCATCTTACCGCCCTTTTAATCACAAGCTCACTCTACTTAAGTTCTAGTTCAGAGTCTTTACCTACAACTTAGTGTAGTGACCCCACAGCATTGACTGAATTTGCTTATTCCTGTAGGCATTTATTAGTATAGTTACAAAGGAAGGGATGAACTGAAATAGCCTTTCACCGATTGTCAGCCTCCTTTCCACAGCCAAGGCAGCTCTGTTTTTTCACTGTACCTCGCAGAATCATGCATGAGGGCAGATGATAATGCTACGGAGCACTAGCTACTAAGATTTATATTCCAAAATTCATGTTCCTATTCTACCCTGACAACTTTAGCAAGAGCTTATAGAAGCCACGAACTGAAATCAGTTTCAGGACTTAAGAGAGTTAACTAGAAACAAACCTAAGGCTAGCAATGCAAAAAGCAACTCTTACCCGCTCCTCACTTCCACTGATGTGCTATTTCTTAAACCTAATCACATTTAGAAATTATTTAAAAAAAAAAAAAAAGTATTTTGTAACATGCTGAAAAAAATAAGTCTTCTCAGCCTTGCACAGTTGACCTAAATTACCCCCACTAAACACCCCCCTCCTGGTGAGGTAGCTGTTAGTTATGTAGGTTTCAAACTAAAGATAGCACTGTCTAAAAGAAAATACCGTATAATCAGAGGTGATTATCTCATTTATGTGTTGACATAAAATTACAACTCTGATTAGAAAAGTAACAAATATTTGTTCAATTTCCTGTAGACTCCCCTTCAGAGACACACAAGCATTTCACATTTGCTTCTAGCTTCACTCATGAAGCGCTCACACCTTCAAAAGCTCCTGTTAAAGGAAATCTTTGTAAGTTTGGGAATAACTACACTTCCCCAGACCATTTTAACTAAGCTAAAGATCTTCAAAGGAAAAGTAGGCTTGTACTAGAAATTCATCACCACCTGTCACTTTTTCCCCCCTAAATTGAAAGACCATACATATTCAACAACTACACTGAGGAATTTCATTAATTCCAAAAGACATCATTTGCAATGTATTATATTAAGCCAATAGAAAACTACCAGTCACTCTTTCTACTGATGTTTGCCTTTTCAAGACGCAGGCTGCTTGCAACAGTTGCACAGCTTAATTACACAGATGCGCTCCGCTGGCACTGCACAGGCGCGCTCCTGCCACGAGTGATTCGAGAAGTCATTTAAACCATCAGGCTAACCCAGAGAGGGTAGATGTACGCCCAACAGCACCAACAGTGGTCCACACTCAAAGCATAGGCATAGCTGGGAGCAGATAGGCACATAAAGCGTAGAGGGTTTTTTGCAGTTTATAGCTAAAACTACACTAAGCTTTGTCTAAGTCTTCAAAGCTAATCTACACGCAACATCTATACCGCCACAACCAAGGTTACTTACTGTAAACAGACTTTACGTTAAGCCCAACATTTTCTCCACTGTAAACTCTGTTATGTCTAGAGTGTTAGCTACTTCAGAGTGGAAAGAAAATCATGGACGAGTATGGATAAGATATTTTCAACCTAATGTAACATGGTGTTGTAAAAAAAAAAAAAAAAGTCTATTGAGACCTGTTAAGTCTGAAGTGATAATGCACATTCACTATAAAACTTGGGAAAGAATTCTGAAAAGACTGATCAACTACAAATCAAAACTAAGACTCCAAACGCCTTTCATAAACAGTTCATTTGAACATAAGACAATCTAAAGAAACCCCTCTCGTACTTGTTGCTCTCTCATCTTACCAGCGAACACCTGAGCAAACTTTGACTATGTATGCTTTACTGCTATTCTAACTTTATATAAATTAAGAGATAAGAGTACAAAGCTTCCAGGTCTTTTAAAGCTAAATTAACAATGTAAATATTGATTTCACCACTACTTGGCTCAAACAACTAGCTTGTAACCAGTTCGCTTGAGCTTATAAACCTCAAGGAACTAGTGTAGACATCTATACCACGTTGTATGGGTTCTTGACTTCAAAAAGCAGTCTGCTTTAATAACAAAGTACGGCTTATTTACTTAAATAAAGTAACTGTTTCTGTTTGCAGGAAAGAATACATAGAAGTGAAACAGGATTTTCTTTTTCAATTTTTTTTTTCCACATTATGAAATTTATTGTGTGTTTATCACGTTCAAAAAGCATTGACCAGTGTGGGTTTTTTGGTAACTGTTAGAATGCCAAAGTAAAGCTGGTATATTTAGAAGCTTAATTAGCACCTAACAGATGACCGTAAACTTGAGGAAAATTTGAACAGCCATGTATTTTGACTGTTTAGACTTCCAATAGTTCTGTGGGCACAACAGAAGAATTTAAAAAAGCAAAAAGAAACTGAATGCTTTGGTAAGACCAGACAGTATCATGAACACGTGAATTTAAGTTTAAAAGATTTTAAGGGTGTGATGATTAAATCCTTACCCCCATTTTCATGTCTGTTTAAAATCTAATTTCAGTCTAAGCTTAAATTTTTCCATCTGTCACGATTGCCTACATGGGCAATTATGGAAAAAACAGGATGAAAACTGCTTAGGGATGAACGCCGAGAGATTCTTCACAAGGCATTGCAAGGCTGAAACAGGAGTGGGTTGGAGAAGAGACAGTAATTCACATGGTCAGATAAGGACCAAAACTAGAAGGAAAAAAAAAAAGTAAAGTCAGTTGCATGAAAATGGCCCAACACTGAGCAAAAGACATGCAAGAAAACTGAAGTAGCAGTGGAGAGTGGGCCTGATTAGGTTTTGATAGATGGAGAAAACTGAAAACATTTCCCCACTGTATAAGTGACATTATCCACAGTCTTTATTCAAATGTATGGAACAAAATCTAATTAAGGGAGAAATTTGCTAAACTTTACAGAAAGCCCTCTACAGAGCTAGTTTTGAAACAAAAGGGACAGATAATTGCTTAATCTCAAAATTGAGACTGAAGTATACCAATAGTACTTTACATCAAGCAGTTATCTTTAAGAATGCGTGAAAAAGGACAATTTACTTTTTAAAAGGGTGTCCTCCAAATACAGCGTACATATAAAGTACTCTAACATCCTGGATTTTTTTCAAAGCTTTTTGAGAAACACACACAAATAATTCAGATTTAGTCAATTTTATTTACAGTTTGTTTTTTTACATTTCAGAGCATTACACAATTACATATTCTCATTTTCTGACCTGCAAACAGATACCTTAAACGGAAATATTAAAAAAAATGAAGTTAGATACATCCAAAATGCAACAATTACACATCTGACAATTCACAAAGTGTAATTTACTAGGACGTATCCTAAGAATTTAGGAACAACCAGTCAGGAGAAAATCTGACCAATTTCAGCAATCAATTATTTACACATTCAAAACAAAGCCTCTCTTAATCTAAACCTCCAGGCAAATGGCCTGAAAGATTTCTTCAGGAAGAAAGACCAGAAGTTATGATTCACACCTATGCAGCATTAACAGCCCTTGATCCCAAACACTGAGCAACTTCTCAGCTTTGTCTTAGAGCTACAGGCATCCCTCTCAGCTTCTCAGACCCTGAAGTGTTATATTTGTGCCCCCATGTGCATAGAAAGGCTGAGTGTTTAAGTGGTCACTACGATAAAACCCCATTTAATCTGGTCTTTAAGTTACATGAATTCTTCTTCCTTTAAAAATTTCAGCAAGTCTTCTAATGCCATTTAAACTGGCCTATGTGGATTGGGGCATGCCACCTTAAGATGTTTCAGCATGCTTTGAACCAATTTGCGCTGGCCAGAATAAATACATTAGAGACTATTTAAAATAATCTGTAAAGACCATTTAGACAAGGCTTACATTTCTACACTTCCCTGATGGGCCACCTAAAAAAAAAAAAAAAAAGTCACAGCTACTACTTTCATCCCTTGTGTTAACCCTTTGCCACACAGCAACTAGTTATATACTGGGTAGAAACTACTAAAAAATTCCCTGCAAATAAGCTGCCTTTCAGCTGAGGCTATGGCTCCTATGCATTGGGTGTTTGAGGAGGTTTTTTTCTTTAAAAAAAATTCTCACTTGAAAAATACTGAAGTTCTTGCTTTAGGCTAATTTTGATTGCATGTTCAATTTGTTTAACTGTCAAGAAACTGCTACAAATGGAACAACTTTAGTATAAAAAGAGCAGTCAACCGAGTGCAACTTCTGACTTGGCAAGTCCTTCATGGTAGTCCTCTAACTAGGCTATGAGTTTTGTGGAGCCTCCAGATTTCTTGCCTACCTTACTTTCCATGTTCACGTTTCAAACTGTGTCAGCAGGGCCCGAACTTCGGGAGTCAGCTGCTTAGCAGCCTTAGCTGCCTCTGTGACGGCCTTGCGGTAAAGACCCTTTCTCTTCTTATTAAAGCGCAACTGGAAGCTTTCTAAAAAGGGGGATAGTTGTGCAAGAGCAAGAAAAGATGTTGTTGTGGAGCCAAACCATGAGATACGAGCCTCCTGTCGAACTAAAAGGCCATTATCTTTCCGGCTCACAGTTATGGTAAGAATACGGGCTGGCCACCAAGGGAAGCCATAAATCTTGGCCCAAACAATGTCCCCTACACATACGGTCCTGCCATCTGGTGTGACACATTTAGAGACGTTTTTGGAAAAGACTTCCGTTTTCAAGGAATTACTGAGCTTTTTCTCTTCCTTTGAAGAGGAGGAGGAGGAGGAAGGTGCATGCATGCTGCCTGGAGGAAAATCAAAGCTTTCAGTAGAGCTACACTCAGAGTTGGTAGATTTCAAATCATCTGTGCTATCACTACTACAAACTGATGCACTGGAAGAGTCAGATTTCTTTTGATTAAGGGTCATGTAAACCGTTATATTGCTTTTGCTGCCTCTCTTGCCCAATGTCTGGTGTTCATCCTGATCAACAGTTACATGCACTTCACTTGTGTCCTGAACCTCACTGCTGGCCTCTTCAGGGCCTTCTGAGGGGCTCTGATTTTCTGAAGGGGCCTCACCTGCTGAGCGGGTGGAGGAGCAGCGAGACTGGGGCTTAGTTGCCATCTTGCCACTCCGTATTTTCTCAAGTCCTGTCTTGAGAGAAGAGTCATTTTCTTCATTCCGATACCTTTGTGGCTTTAAACGCAATCGGGGTGGGAGGGAACCTGAGCTGGTGTTCTGAAGACGCCGTGTGAAGTGGACCTTTGAATGTGCATTTTTGGAAGAGGAGGTTGCACTCTGCTTCTTTTGTGCCTTTTCTTTGGCCATTTTCAAGACTTCCCGAGCTTTTGCATGATCCATGTTTTTGCTCTGGAGAACTTTTTTTGTATTTAACTGCGCTTTAGAAGTATTTGCTTGTGCGGAAACTTTAACTACTCTGCTTCTGCTGTGGGCAATATTGGAGACCTTGACCACAGCATTCCTTTTCTGGCTTTCATTTTGGCTTTTTCCATCCACTTTATGGTCAGTCTTAAGTTTTTTATTCACAGTAGTCACACTCTCATTTCTTCGTTTTTTACTATCCTCATATTTTGAAGAGTCACTTGCATTGCCACCTTTTTTTATTTCCTTTTTTTCTGCAACAACACTGTTTTTGCACTTGTCACATAAGACCTGCCGGGGTCGTAGTTTGATAGCATTCATGATAGAAGTGGGTTCCTCCCTGTACATTTTACGCTTGGGCCGCTTAATTTTCCGGGGCGGAGGCTGAGGTATTGACTGGTTATACGTGTCCCTGATAAACAAAGGAGGAGGATATGGCGCTCCCTCATGAAAGAGAGGAGGTGGTTTAGAAGTCCATAGGCTTTTAGCTATGCTAGGTTCTGATGGCTGCGTGAGAGAAGAGTCATCAGGGACTGCAGCATTAGATTCACACTTCACCTGTGCCTCATCTTGGAATGGTTTACTTTGGAGCTGCATGGCTTCAGGTTTATCCTTGTATTCCCTTTTAGGAAATATGGTCACAGGGATTCCATGAGGTCCAAACCTTAAAAAGAAAAGAAAAAAAAAAAATGTTTTGAGGGATCTTTTGCTACATTTATTAAAAAGCATTTGAAAACCTGTCCACATTATGTAGCCAGCATCTGAAAGACATGAGTCCTGGGAAAATTAAAGCTTCGTGTCTAGCCTTATGGTAAGCTTTGAAAAAGCAAGACACATAAACCAAGTCAGTGGAGAACATGAAATAGACAACTTCGCTATTACCAGTTTCTCTTGCGTCAACAACATGCCCTGAAAATGAAACCAAAAATATCACCTAGAGAGAGCAGTGAAAAAATTAACTTTGTACTTTTAGAAAATGCTTATAAGCATACAAACTACGCATTCATCCCATCAATGCCAAATTTACCCAAGATTAATTTCCATACTAAGCCAGGGTCAAACCACCACACCAACTTATCTTCAGTAAATTTTACAAAATTCTAGTATTTTCAGTGTAGCACAAAAGGCTGAATAAGCTTCAGATTTAATTGAGGCAAATACAGACTGCATAAATACTTGAACAAAGAGTACAATCCTTCTTCATCCACAAAAGATTAGCATTTGATCAAGCACAAATACAGGCTGGGCAGAGAATGGATTGAGAGCAGCCCTGAGGAGAACGACTTGGGGTGTTGGTCGATGAGAAGCTCAACATGACCCAGCAATATACACTCACAGCCCAGAAGGCCAACCGCATCCTGGGCTGCATCAAAAGAAGCCTGACCAGCAGGTTGAGGGAAGCGATTCTCCCCCTCTATTCTACTCTCGTGAGGCCACACCTGGAGTACTGCGTCCAGCCCTGGGGCCCCCAACATGAGAAGGACATGGGCCTGTTGGAGCGGGTCCAGAGGACAAGGGGTGATGGCTTTAAATGGAAAGAGGGTAGACTGAGATTAGATATAAGGAAGAAATTCTTCACTGCAGGGGTGGTGAGGCACTGGAATGGGTTGCCCAGAGAAGTTGCGGATGCCCCATCCCTGGAAGTGTTCAAAGCCAGGTTGGACAGGGCGTTGAGCAACCTGGTCTAGTGGAAGATGTCCCTGCCCATGGCAGCAGGGTTGGAACTACATGATCTTTAAAGTCCCTTCCAACCCAAACTGTCCTACGATTCTACAATTCTATGATCTGATCCTATTAGTTTGAGTTTCTTCCAGAAAAACTACCCTTATTTCCATGCAGTACCAACCATTACTCCCTGTTCTGTGAGCAAACAGTATTTTAAACCTCTGCTTACTTTTCTCCAGACAGCTCTAGATCTCTGTTGCCCCATCTGACAAACACAGGACTTCTTGTCACCCTGATCAGCTCTGAGAGAAGTGAATGAAAAATCCCGGTATGACTCAGGCATTAGCTCAACTTTCCTATAGTAGCAGAAGTAGCACGTGGCCTGACACGTAACCCGTACTTTCTACCAAGGCTTGTGCCAGGGGAAACATTTTATCAGTTTGCAAGGCATTATGCTTGCTTTCTCCTGAGAGGAAATGAAATGATAAACACATTTGTTTTACAACAATGTATCTCTCTATGCCCAGAACAGGGCAGGAGGGATTATAAACACGGGTTTAACTTCTCCACTCCACAATCTAGCAGCTGAGGCACCAGCCTTACGCAGAGCTGTCACCAGGCTGTTCATTGCTCTTGAGCTCCGCCTGACTCCAGCTCTCATGCGCACACTAGCGTTTGGCTTATACTATTTGGTATTTTAATAGTTTGACCTTAAATGCAGTAGCAACATGATAGACAAGGTTGCAATTCAAACGCCAAATCATCCATTTTGAATCACTAAACAAACACCATTATGTTTATCCCACCCCACACCCTGCCCGGCAGAAGGATGAAGCACCCAAGATTTGTCCTCAGGTTAACGCTAGTTCATGTTGCACAGCAGCTGCTCAACTGCAACATCCTCCTAACTGATTGAACCGAAATTTATTTACAATCTATGGTTGCCTCTCAACTAAAGATAAAAGCTGAATACCAGTCTATTTTCCATTCGCACTCCTGTAAGAAACACACAGTTTATACAAGTGCCTACATGCTGGCTTTATTTCTTCAAAACTGTTTTTGAAAAGACACATCATATGTGTTAGAAGACTCTTTACACTGTCACCAACAAAAGCCATCACTTGTTTGTCCTTTTGCTTATCTGTTAAGCCTCTTCTTACACTTAAAAAGTTGCAATGGAAGCAAACAACCCATCCAAGATTAAATTATCCATCCACTTTGCACTTCATTACAAAAAGAGAACAGAAACAGCAAACAACCTAAGCAAGGGGCAAACAAACAACTCTGTCATCGTAAAAAAAGGGGGGAAGTTGAGTATGTGACAATTTGCTGTTTAGTATCAACATGGGCACTGTTGTTACCCTACCCAAGGTGCTGTTACATTCATACCCTTGAACCCTGCAGTCAGAGGCAGGAGCCCAGGTAGGCAGCGCTGTCCTTATCCATGGGCTGATGAGTGTTCTTTAGAATCATAGAATCATAGAATGTTTAGGGTTGGAAGGGACCACTAGTGGTCATCTAGTCCAACCCCCCTGCAGTGAGCAGGGACACTGCTAACTAGATCAGATTGCTCAGAGCCCCATCCAACCTGGCCTTGAATGTTTCCAGGGATGGGGCCTCCACTACCTCTCTGGGCAACCTGTTCCAGTGTTTTACCACTCTTATTGTAAAAAACATGCCACCAGCCCACAAAAGTTCGTTTCTGAGGTTTGGACCCACTCCAGTTAAATTCCACGTGTCCGTCCAGAAATGAGCAGCATAACTAAATGCAGACTATTGCAGTACTGAAGGCTACAGTGAATTATAAACATTTAGCAGCTGATACAGGCATTTTTCCAGCCTACAGTCTGGCATTAAACCACAAGGGACTCGCTCATAACCGAGTTTTAGGTTCCCTGAAGTCACACCAAGTGTAAAGAAGTTGCTTTTCCATGAACACTTCTTCCACTAAGGACTACGAGTAAATTATTCAATTCCAAGTAGGGCTTTAAAATAAACTATCAGCTGATAAAAATTAAATTAGCAATATTTTTAGTGTTACTTGCATCAAGAACTTCAGCTTATTTAAGAGCACTAAGATCCAGATCCCATCTTTCACCACCTGGTAAAGATTACAGGATTTGGGAAAAAAGTTAATTTACTGTAAGAGTTGAGAACAAGACAGGGTAAGATCTCTGCTGTGCAAATTTCAATCCCAGCCAAACACCACAAGAGCAGAACTGGACAGGAGTGTGATATCAAATGGGCAAAAGCCATGCAGAGCATCATCACTTACAACTCTTCACTGTCTCAGGAGCTGTATTTCCTAGCCTGTCACAAGACATTTCCATAGTCCAATGCACAAGCCTTTCTTCTAGAGGACACTTATGCTGACCCCATGTTAGGAAATTAAGCATTATTAGTGGCGAGCAGGGAAGAAGTGGCTGAAGAGGACTGCATGGAAGTTTTCCAGAAGGATCCCATCTAAGTACTTCATATCTCTTTTCCCAGATTTTCATTCTACTGCCTCACAAGCAAAGCCAGCACCATTAGCACTCCAAACGCATGAGAGAGCCTAACAGAAAGCTCAGCAAATGACTGATAGCATAAAGGCATCACAGATTAATACTGCACCTTAGACTATCCTTTCCTTCAAGCATCCGCATAACACACAGGCCAAACAGCTGAAGAACAGGACAGCCAAAGTGGAATTTTTATCCAAGATGCAAACCTGCTTTAGTAAGACACAAAACCAATCCAGACTGAAACTCTGAAGCTGAAGTCTGTCTCACAAAAGGTAGTTTTAACAAATGAACTAGAATCTCCCACCCCTGTCTACCTATAAATTAATGAATTGTAGAATTAGAGAACATTCACAGATATCATCTACTGCCAGTTATGTAAGAGCAATTGAAGACACAATTGCTGTAAACGATGTGTCAATACATAAAGACATGACTAGTCAAGACATAGTCCACCTGAAGTACAAGGTAAGTTTGGTAAGCCCAGAGACTGAATACTACTTGTAACAGCTGAGTGTATGGTGCCTTCTCTGAGGCTTCATCCAATAGCAGGTTGCATCCAGAAACATTCAGTTTTTAGATATCTTTGTTTCCTCCTTGATGAATTAAGTTCTCCAGCTATGCAACTTGGAAGAATTATATGAAAATTAAGAACAGGGAACAATGGCAGAAAACCAGGAATGAAACAGTAAATGATACAGGAGACAATGAAGACAAAGTTGGGAAGAGAGTGAAGGCAAAACAAATGGCCTGTTTTTTTAAAAAGAAGCAGCAGAATGAAGATGTGATCTTAAACCTATTCAAGACCAGGCACGACACAGAATCTAATTAGTTCAATGGTGAACACAAGTATTTATTGCATATACTAGAATTTCAAGCCCTATTTTCATAGGTCTAGCTGGCGGACCGTGAAGACAATCGTTTCTCATACAATCACAATAATAATTTTTGTTACACCAACTACACGTTTGAAATAGCTAGGAGTGCCACGTGTATGTAGGTTAGACATAAAAGTTGTGAAAGCTAGAATTTGGTTCATCTGCTACAGACATAAAGATGGACTAAAAGGCAACTGTATAAAAAAAGGTTAAAAAAATCCAAGTAACAGAACTGAGTTGTATCACGACATTTACTGATCCACACATCAGTCAATGACTGGGCAGTAGATCACCTCTTAAAAGAAACCATTTCAGTAATGCTACATCAGTGAGACTACTTATATATTTTGTTTGTCACGTTGCGTGTTTACATACTATAAAGAATTGCCCTGTCTTTATTCTAACAGCAAGCTACATTTTTTTTTCATTTATTGATCCCGAGTATCACCTGTCCCTACTTTCCTCCAGAAAAGGCTATTCTTGGAAAGACATACTCCAATTACTGTTTGCGTAAAAAAAAAAATAAAATCCATTTGTGCTTAAGTTCCAGCTGTTCATTGTACAGCTTACTCATGCATAACAGAATATAGTTCTACCTCAGACTATGACTTGAAGGA